CAACTTGTCCAGTATAATTTTCCAGTAATATGCAATATAAATAGGGTCACGAGTCTGTGTGACTCTGCAGAAGCAGCGAGTTTGATCTGCAATGAGACCCCTGAGACTCATGAGGACCTGAAATATCATCTCGGAGGTGAAGGCTCTGATGGAACGCAACAGGCAGGTGGACTTCCAGGTGATAGATCGAGATTGTAATGCTAGAGCTGATTCGCTCGCCAAACAAGACCTTGATTCTACTACTGGTCTAGCCAGATCTATCCTCCTGACTCTCTTATTGAGAGCTACCAGAAATGGAATTAAGCACTTAGTAGCTTTACTTTCCTGTTAGTTTTTTCTTTCCAGTGTATCAGAAAATTGGCGTCACAAGTTTGTCCCGAACAGATAATAACTACCACTCAGAGGATTACTTTTTTTTATCTAATTCTAAAATGTTTTTGAGTGTATTGTGTGAAATATAACATCTTAATATATCTTTCTCAACCTATCTCCTAATAATTGAAAGCTAGCGCATCCCTAAACCAGTGCAGTGCTAAGTACGAGGCACATCTGAATCAATGCTCCCTTGACGGGGTCCCTGGATGTATTTCAACTATTTAAGCTGCCTGTGCAACTCCTTATTGGAAAGTAATCCAAAATTTTGGATCTGTAAATGAATTTTCAATCCCCTGAACGTAAAGTAGACCATAATCATACATTTATTTTCATAACTTTCGGATATCAGACAACTCATGACTTGTATTTTTGCAGTTTAAAGCCTCCTCTTTTCAAGTATCCCAAAATAAAAACTAATCAAACACGCTAAAAGTTGTTTGATTTGAAAGCTCACTCATAATAAAAGACCAAAATACCTAATTCTATCAACCAAACCTACCAACAAAGTGTAAGCAAAGCCCAAGACAAACCTACTTACCATTAAAAAGTACATGATAAACACACACTGTTAGTATAGACACCTCAAAAAGTGGACAGGGTTACAGCCATTCAGATAGGAAAGTTAATTTTAATCAGTCCCTTATTATCAGAACACAAGTTCTTGCGTAGTTGTATATGTCAATAAGTAAACTAGGATATGACTATTTGATGTCAATTTGAATATTCTTTATACACAAATCTGAAGCACAAGATTGATGCTAATATTGTGCCAGAAAAGCAACTTAAGCAAGTTGGCTACCAGAGTAGAACGGCCTTTCTCATTTCTCAACATAAATTTCCCAACATTTCACTATACTGTAGATTAATTACCAAGATTAGATCCCACCGAAATATGAAAGCATGTTAAGTACCAGAAAAGCCAAAACATCACTAATTCCAAATTTGGAAACTGTAGCACTCAAAAACATACTGAGATAATAATTTTGGAAAAAAAATAAGACTACTTTCAACTTATTTGAACTAGATATTTAAACTCAAAGATTCCACATCTTCACAGGTGTTTCCTTGAGCTAGGAACCCTAGCAGCTGTGTCCAACTCAGAGCTAAGACTGCAGGACACCATGTCAATGATACTAAGCTAACAGCTGACCCAGAATAAACCTCCATCAAAGGTTGAGGCGTGAAATAATGTGCTAGGGTCGAATTGCTCTCCCATCCCATTCTTCACCTACCCAGGTCATGGATCTCCTATATAACACCCCCCCTGCCCCCAAAAAGAAAAGGTTCTCCTATTCTCGTACTTCATGTCCCTTGGTTTCTCAACAAAGTACATAATACAATATTCTAGGATACGGTACACCTGAATATTACATGTACCCACCGGTTTCTATTTATTTTCTTTACTTTTACTCATGTAGGCCACAGACAGAATCAAAGGCATTCAATGAAATCATGTGATTTTCTTCAAAAGATAAATCTTTTTAAGGCACCAAGGCAAAATTTCTCGTGTTAGAAATTCTTGGTCTTTTAGGAATCATGATGCATCAATCCATAATAAAATTCATATATTTCATATACACATCAGTATGTTTCAAGTTACTTTGAATTATCTGGTTCTTCAAAATTTTGTTGAAAAAAATTCATGCAAAAATTTTGCGGGATTTACATTCACTAACTGTTCTACAGGGGAAGTCCGTCCATCATCACCAAACTCCACGGTTAATGGAACCGTATTTCATGGTAATCAAGGACTCCGAAATGTCTTCTCTTTCTTTCTTTATGGAAGAAAGGAAACCAAAATTTCTACACATTAAGTAAGTTATCAGTCAACAGGTAACGTGATAAATCTGGAACATTATTTGGGTGTAGTCAGAGAAGAAGAAAAATAACTTTCTGCGGGTCATAAAACCTAACGAACTACGGACTTGACTCCAAGAATGATCAATCATAAAGTGGCTTCCAAACGACCAAAATTTGGAGCAAAATAGTTAAATTAAATCAAGCAAAGTCAAACCGGGGAAGAAAAGGGTCAGCTGGCAGCAGAGGATCCCACTTAACACTAGCGGCATGAGGTGGCTAGACTCCTCTGTTTACATTGCACGACATTTGCCTAATCAGGGTGCTAAAGTAAGGAAAGCTCGGAGTCGTCCCATTAAAATCATGACCAGACTACGAGAGTCAAGTTTGCACCTTTCGAAACCCACGGTTCCAAGCGAGGTCACAACCAGATAGATTACCCCAAGCTGAAGCTAAGGAGAACCATTGTTTGCAACAAACCCCCGAATTTCAACTAGATATCTATTGATTAAATACGGAATACAATAATTTCTAAAAATTGCAACACAGCAATGTGAATCAACTTAACGAAACATTCCTATGCACACCAATCAGCTGGTTAAGTTAGGGTGCCAGTAGAATAGAGATTCGATATCTTAAATTCATAATAATACAGATATCAAGTTGCATACCCAAAGGCATCACAGACATTCCTTGAGATCTTCATCTTCTTCTTGACACCTTTGTAGAGCTCTTCTAAGCTACACGGCAAAAGAGTCTCCACCGCCGCAGCTTTCCTCGTCCCTCCACCAAACGCACCATTTGAAGTTCTGAAAAAACCATCCCTATGCGCACCGTTTCTCCCACCTCCACCACCAGCACCACCATTCTCCGACCCAAAAATTTCCGCGTAAATGTCGTCGGCGTCCCTAGGATTAAACCGATAAGACGTGGTACTATGCTGGCGTTGTTGGTTTTGGAAATGCTGGTAAGCACGAGAAGACGAGGAGGACATGGAAGAGGAGGATTGCGAAGGTGGCGGGAACTGACCAGACTTGAGAGCCTCCTCGCCATAGAGATCATAGATCTGACGCTTTTGGGGATCGCTCAAAACGTCGTAGGCTTCAGAAATTTGCTTGAATTTGGCCTCGGCTTCCCTCTTATTAACTGGGTTTTTGTCTGGGTGCCAAATCATCGCTAGCCTCTTGTAGGCCTTCCTCAAATCGTCCTCACTCGCATTCCGATTCACTTTCAGTATGTTATAGTAGTCCATGCCCATCCGCGAGCGTAGGGATATGAACAAGTGAGTCTCTCTCCCTCTTTCCTCTTATATCAATAGGTAAGCTTGGGGTATGAAAACGAGTAGAAGTTCCGTTAACAAAGTGAGAGCCCGCCGACGGCAACAGCGGCCAACGATTGAGCAGAAGAAAAGGGGACCGTTAGAAGGGAAAAGGAGAGGAAAGACGGAGTGAATACCGTGGATCTGACGGTTAGAACGACAGGCTGATGGAAGAAGGAGCTTCATCATATGGGGGTCCCATTGCCGTTCCCAAAGCTATTATGAAGGGAAAATAACGTGCGGGGAACTACTCCGACGTGTTGTCGGAGGACAGGAAGGAAATCTTCAACGTCATGGATTCATATTTGGGCCGCTTATTTTTTTCAAAAAAAATGTTTGGGCCACATTTCCTTCTTATTCGTTTTATCGGCCCGTGACTAAGACTCAAGTTGCAGTACGTAGTCTTACTTATGGTAGCAGAGAAAGAAAATAAAAGAAAATAAGGGAGAATAAAGTAAATATTTTTGAAAAGACAAATATTATTTACTTAACTTTTTAATAAACATATTATTTAATTATTCAAAAAATCATTTTAATCAAGAGTAATATCCTACTTCCATCCTTAACATAAGAACTAGGTAATTAATTTAAAGACTTAAAAAAATAGTTAATTTGGTTAATTATAATAAATATGGAAATCCCTTATATTTAATAGATGTTTTTATGCTAAGGATATGAGGTAGTATATTTTTTTATGTGAAATGAACGCAATTTTTACGCAATAAAGAATGAACCAAACACAATTACTGGAAACTTTATCACATTTGTTCATAAACACATATGTGGAATATTGATGATATGACATCAATAGCTAATAAAGTAATACTCCTCCAATCCTTAATATAAGATCTAATTGTTGAGTTGATTTTAGTTTTAAATATAAGATCTATTTCTCATATTTATTAATTTTTTCTAAATTACCCCTATGAATACTTCCTCAACTATAATCAAGTAGAAAAGAGAGGAGAATATTAAAGAAGATGATTATGATATTTTAAAAAAAACATGTCATATTTATTATAATTAACTAACTTACCTAACTTCCTTAATCTAATCAAATTAGTTAAATAAGTCTTATATTAAGGACTGGAAGAGTAATAAATAGTGACAAACAATTTTAATTGTGTATATATTATATTGATGGTGATAATATAAAATTTATACTATATTTATTTTCAAAGCATATAAACCATGATATAACTTCAAAATGATTAATATTTGATTAAATATTTTATTCACCATGCACACAATCCCTTCTCTTGGATTCAAATCTCAGTGCCATTGACTGAAAACAACGATGATGATCAAACGGACCTGATCATCATGGGAAGTGCATTTTTAATGAAAAAGATAGGCATGTTTTTCGGTAAGCAAAAGATTATGGGATTTTCTTCTTCTTTTTTGGTTAGAGAAATTACGGGTTTGATCATATTTGTAATTTTATATTATAAGCATCCGGCTCTTTAATTTAAAATGAAAATAAAATTTTTATTAAAAAAAGGGTAGAGTGACAGAGAAAGCGTGGGTGCATATGAAAACTCTCCTCCCGTTTCACTCCCATCCACTTTTCTCTCTACTTGACTTTAAACACACTTTACACTTTGAGAGGATGAAATCCTTGCTTTGTGGGAGAAATTATAGGAGCCAGCCATAACTTTGAAGCATAGACAGTGGCGAAAAGGAAGAAAAAAGGGTGGGAAGGAAAATGGAGGGGCCAGCCAGGTAAGCAAAAGCAAATGGACAGTAACTTTTTTCACTCAAACAACCACTGATTGGCCACTAATCCCATCATGAAGCTGAAGTGAACCGTCCTTCATCAGATTTAGACTCAGGCTCTTGAATCTCTCTCTTGAATACTGTCTTGATGCTTTTCTCCAGTCAGTTCCTGTTTTCATCATTGCCACAAACTCCTCATAGCTTATTCGCCCATCCTGTACCCACAAAACATGAAAGTTGCAACTAGGAATGTTGTTTGGCAGCACATCTCTTTCATGTTTAAAGACTTGTCAAGTGTTTTATTAGGTATAGCACAAAATTCCCTCTCTGTTTTTGTTTCAGAGACAAAAAAATCTTTAGGTAGATCAAAATGACATCAAATTGCAGAGATCAAAATTACTAATTTCAAATTTTATGGGCTAAAATCAAAATATGTTAAAAAAGGGTTAATACAATTTTTGGTCCCTCAAGTTTGCAAAAATTTTGATTTTAATCTCTCGAGTTTCAAATTATAGGTTTTGGTCCTTTAAAGGGTAAAAAAAACACAAGTTTTTATTAAATTATACGCATAAATATTTTGGATAGAAAGAAACTTAAGAGACTAAAATTTATGATTTAAAATATGATGGACTAAAATAAAAAAAGAAGGACTTGAGGAGTTAAAAATTATATTGCCCCTAAAAAAAAATGGAGTATCTAAAATGAAAGGAGAATATTGAAACAAATGAAAGATTAGTGATGAGCATGGAAGTCAAACCTTGTCTGTGTCAACCTCCCGCATGATGTCATTGACAACATCATCTTCAATTTCACCTGATTCATCTGCTAATGAATCTCGCAGGTCACCTAATTCAATATACCCACTCTCGTCTTTGTCAAAATACATGAATGCTTTGCGGAAATGCTCGTCATTCTCCATTCTCTGCAAGTGAATCGTCACTGCCACAAATTCTCCATAGTCAAGCACTCCATTCCCGTCAACGTCCGCCTAATTTGTTCCAATCAATCACAAATTCTCGTTATTCCAAATCTGCTTCACTATGTTTGGCTTTGAACAAGAATGACTTCTTCAGATATATGCAGGAAAAATTTTCAACACAGAGCTGTTACATTGGATTTAGATAAAATTGTGGCTAATTTCTGCCTTTCTGGTAAAATCCCATTATTCCTCAGTCAAGGCCTAAAAGACTAAATTCCTCTTACCCTCAGATAATATCCATTTGGAAACAACCTTCTAGCATTATTATTATTATTATTTAAAGAAATTGAACTTTGGAGATAGATTTCTAATGGTGCATTTCTATATGAGAGCTTACCACTTCCATCAGCATCTTTATCTCTGGCTCAGCCAGTTGGGAACCAACCTTTCGCAACCCAGCCTTGAGTTCTTCATATGTTACTTTTCCATCTCCATCACTATCCATTAATGCGAACATGTCTTTGATTATCTCTACCTCTTCGATAGATAAATACTCTGCTATTACCTGTCGCAGTCATTTAACTTCCTTAATATTTCATCAGAAACAGAACCAGAATATGTGTAAAATTAAGAAATAGGTGCTAACCCAAAGGGCTTTCTTTTTAAATCTATTCATCATGGAGAACTGCTTAAGCCTGGACCTCACAATATCTCCTAAGGGAACATTTGAAGCTTTCTTCGCATTTTGTAACCAGGGATGTTCTGCAAACACAGTTATTGACAAAGGAAGTCACATGTAACGCCACGGTTGGTTACTGTGGACTGCTTAAATATGGTCATTTGAAGGCTAATAAGTGATGACAGTGCCTTATTTAGTTATCAAAAGACAAACTTCGAGGCAAAATATAACATCATTCTTGCGATGCATGATGATTATAAGAAAGCTCTGTCCATAAACCCCAAATATGACCAGAATTGAGGGCCATTCGATGTACTTAACGTGTATCCTTAACTTTCCCAAAAAAAAATCAGGGCAAAGGAACAATTTTTCCCTGGAAAAATCCTATGAATATCCCTCCCGTAAGGTGCCCGCCATCTGCTTATGAGTTTCTCCACCACCACCTTTGAAAATTGTAATCCAACTAAGTTTCTGACACAAAGGAGGAATCCAATGTCTGAGTCTGAGTCATTTATTGTGGTTCCTGAGATTAGTGACTGGGAATTGTTAAACTGATAATACCACAATACAAGGCAAATCCCAGACACGAAACTGAGTGTTCTCGACTTCAACATCCTCTATTTAGGATATTGGGATGATGAATCTCTAGACGGTCGGTGCCTAACACAATAAGAAAACTTTGGTTTTGTTACAAAACTTTGGCTTTCAAAAGCCGCGCGACTTACCAAGCACCTGTTGAGCTGTCAAGCGCCTTTTAGGATCCTGCTCCAACATCTGCCTCACTAGGCTCTTAGCACTATCCGATATCTGAGGCCAAGGTTCCCTCTTAAAATCAATCACCCCCCTCAGAATAGCCAAGGCCACACCTTGTTCCGTCTCTGCAAAAAACGCCACCAACTCTCAATAAAACTCAAAATTTTCTCATAACCATTAGTATCACTAAAATTAAAAAACAATAACAAAGCCAGTACCTGCCCAAAACGGAGGAACCCCACATAACAATATATACAGAATGACACCGGCGCTCCATATGTCAACCTCCGGCCCGTAGTTTCTTCTCAGAACCTCCGGCGCCATATAATATGGACTCCCGACGATCTCCGAAAATCTTTCTCCTAAAAGAAGGGGAAAAGATCCATGATGATTTTTGGTTCAGTAGTACCACTAGAGTCGTTTCTTGGACAGAAAAGTTCGAATTACAGCCCGAGTGAGAGTTAACTGGAAAACCAAAGGAAGCATGACGAAGAAGACAACATATATATATATATATATATATATATGACTCACATACCGGGCTTGAAAAACACAGAGAGCCCAAAATCAATGGCCTTAAGGACAGAATTCTCCTTCTTGTTCGCGAAAAGGAAGTTCTCAGGCTTGAGATCTCTGTGCATGACTCCGTTGGCATGACACATCCTCACAACTTCTGCTATCGTTCTGGCGACCGTCGCGGCGGCTCGTTCGCTGTAATGTCCTCTGGCAACAATCCGGTCAAAGAGCTCACCGCCCTCACAGAGCTCCATCACGAGATGCACATTCTCATTATCTTCGTAGGTCGCTTTGAGCTTCACGACGTTTGGGTGGTCAGGAAGCGTTGACATTATAGCAACCTCGCGCCTTACGTCTTCTATATCCACCGCGGTTCGTAGCTTTCGCTTCGAGATCGATTTGCAGGCCAGTGCTTCCTTCGTCTCTCTATCCGTACAGAGGTAGGTGATCCCAAACTCGCCGCGACCCAGCTCGCGTCCAAGTACGTACTTGTCGCTGATTCGGGTTCGGTGGCTCAGTGGAATCACGTCCTTCAGGACTCGGATCGGAGCCGGAGAGTAAATTGAGTCTTCTGCGAACGGGTTTTGCCTTCTGTCCTTAGATTTCTTCTTCTTCCTGTGGTTTGAGTGGTTGCTCGGCGGTTCTTCTGCGACTTCCGCTTTCACACAACAGTTGCAATTTCCCATGCTTCTCTCGAAGCTTCACCGCAACAGAACAACCTCCCTGATCTTAACTCACAACAGAGCAAGATTTTGAGGTCTCTTACACAGCGTAGACGTGGTGCTGCCGCCGGTGAGTGCTCCGGGAAAATAAAAATAAGAAGAGAGGGAGGGAAAGAGAATGAGAAAGAGGAAGGGGAATAGAGAGAGAACGAGGTTTTGAAAATAAGTTATAATCGTTATCGTTGTAATTATAATAAATATACTGATGTTTTATGGGAATTTGGAAGTACTAGATTTGTCAAGCGGCCTTTGTGAATGAGGATATGTAGGAAGAAGTAAAACAACCAGAATATTATTTGAGTATTTATTTGATTCCATGGATTAGTATGATGATCGAGAAGCTTAATTTACCAAATGCGCCCAAGGGTTGGATCATTACGCGGGACTTTGACATTTGATATTATTATTTATAATCATGAGCTTCCATTAATCAATAGACAATGCAATTTTATCCCTCGATGTAATTGACATACATGATTAGGTGGGTCGGGAGTGTAAAACCGTAAGATTGAAAAAAAAAACAAAAGGTGTGATGAATGCACGAGTTGCAAAGTAAAAACATGATTAGGTGGACACCGGAAGAGAGATTGAATAGAAAAACTTAGGATTCCTCCCTTCACTCTTGAATATTGTCATGTTAAGATTTTAAATTTATTCTCAGGTGGCTGTCATTTTAAATTGATGGGAAAATTACACCCAAGTTTTGAGTGAAAGATTTTATTATTGCAAAATTTCTTGGGATATGACTTGTGAGTAATACATTGCAATTGTGAATTGATCATCTTCTCTCAGTTGATGTATAGATTGCCACTCTCAACATTTTTTTGTCAATTTTAACTTCTTTACTTATCATTTGTACCTATATAAATAATTGTCATTTTAAGGTGAAGAATTTTCAAATGAAAGATATCTACTGAAAATTTGTTGTGGCACAATTGATAAGTCAAGACACTTGAAGTGACAACTTATTGTAACTTAATTGACAGGCTAAGATGCTACATGGAATAACAATTTGTATAGGCGCAATTAAGAAGTAAACGAGTTGGAACTAATAAGAGAGGGACTTGATGGAAAATTGCCTATTTTCAAATGCAATCTCTCACCACATAGGTTAATTTAAACATTTAAAGGATCATACAGTAATAAAATCTTTTTACTTGGAATTTGAGTGTAATTTTTCCTAAATTTTTTCACAAGTTTGGCCAAAATTTTTGTGAAAAAAAGAGTAAATTTTGGTTTAGCCAAATATCTATTCCTATATTCGCATATAATATAAGATTTATATAAAATATGAATAATTCCGCCCCCCCCTAAATTTCTAAATAAAACACACAGTATAGTTATGTTAAGTAATGAAAATGTTGAGATTTCACTATTACCAGATACCAACCAACTGACCATTGAAGAAAATTGGCGGGAGGGTGAAGGAAAACAGCAACGCTTCAGAATCGACCAGTTAAGTTCCATTGACCGCTTCATTTTCAAATAAAATAAATAAATAAATAAATAATTCCACAAAACTCGTGAAGTTCTAGACTCTTTCGAAGTTGAGGTTGCTGTTTTTTTTTTAAAATCTTTATGTTTTTTTTTCTGGCCTCCAGTTGTTGAAGTTGTTCAGCGCTTGAGGTTTTACGTTAGGAATATTTTGACTTTTTCGCTCAAATGTGTGGTATATACGGAAAATCAAACATCTAAATCTAAAAACTAATAAAAATATGTTTGGGAAGAAAGAGTAAGAAAGACGTGTGTGTGTGTATATAATTTATCTTTCTCTGCTTATCCCATATTTTTTATTTCAAAATTATTTTAAAATTTAAACAGGTCCAACTTTTGACATTTAAATGCTAAAAACAAAATTAAAAGTATTTACAGCCGATAAATTGAAAATTCAAACTTATTTTATAGGACTATAGAATAACAAATTGTGCTATTTTTGTCAGGAGATTATTTGCATTCATGTGCATTTTTAATATGAAATCTATAATACTTCAAAATAATTTAAAAATCCGAAGTCTTTTAAGTGGCATATGCTGCTGCAGTCTTTATAATTCCATGAAATATATAATTTTATTTTTAAAGATACAAGAGTTAATATTTTAAATGGTTAAAATAAAATTATAGAAATTGAGTCATGCTGAGTTAAAATTTAAAAATTAAATCACAATTGAATTAAAATTATAAAGATGAAGTGATTAATTTTTCTTTTAAAAAAACATATTTATAGGTATTGTTATTTTTTTAAATTGATGTAACTCTATTTTTTCTCTTACAAGGAACAGGTGAAGATCCAAATTTCTTTCTCTGATCCATTGGTTATGTGTTCATATTATTTATCATCCAGCTATAGTCTGAATTACTGTGAGATTATTTTAGTTAGTGGATGAATGAGATGCTAAACTAAACGTAATTAGCTTAAGACAGATATTATGGATTGTATTAAAAAGGTTTCACACTGCCAGGATATTAATCTAGGGCTTTCATGCTCAAATCAATGATTAAAAAAATAGTAATGTTTTGCTACTCTCCAAAGTTTAAACCATATTTTTTTTAAATATTTTTTTTAAAAAAAAAAAAAAAAAACCAATGATGACAGAGTCAATTATTAGCCAGGTCTTATCTCTCAACCCAGACCTCACCAATGAGTAGGTAACATGGGCTTGATGGTTTCATAATTAGCATGTATGTTTAATTTGAGATGACTTTTCCCTATTATATTGTTTTGCCGAACTAAATTAGTCGGGTATATGAAAGTATTAAGCCTCAGTAGTTTAAGTTTTTTTTATTATTAAGTATCCGTATATTCCTATTGAATATCAATCTAAAACACTGCCGAGCATTAAATATATATATTTTAGTGTGGTGAAAAATTAGCTCTTTCTGATTAATTCATTTTTTGTTGGTGCTTTTTCTAATCCCTCATCTAATTTTTTTTTTCAGTAAGTCAATAAATTTTGGCAAAAAGATTAAAAAAAAGAATGGCTAAATTGTTTTATTTGTTCAAAAATAATCTGCTGTTGCAATTTGTTTTTTGGCCAGCACTATTGCAATTATATTACTACTCTTTTTTTCAAAAGAAAAACCACATTGTGTCTTCTCAAGATTTGGAAAAAGAAAAACTATTAACATTACAGGCTCAAAGTTATTAAATATGAGAGTTTATAGCTAAAAGTCCAAAGTAGTTCAATTTACAAGTCCTTTTGGAAGAAATGAGGGCATAGGACCCACTTAACGGGGGAAAATGAGATTCCTGCATGCTAAGGTCAACAAATAATAATGACCCCCCCTTTTCTTTTTTATTTTCATTTTTCTTGTTATATATACTACTTCCGGTCTTTAATATAATATCCTATTTTACTTCTATTTTGATCCTAAATATATGACCTCAATCTAATTTGTGTCTTATATTTATACATTTTTTTTAAAGTAGTCATTCTAACAATGATAATTCTAGTTAATACACTTAATTAGTCAGGATATTTTTAGGAAAGACAATACCTATTTAGAACAAATAACTAATTTAACTTACTTTCTTAATCTCCTCAAATTAATTAACTGATTCTTATAATTAGGATTGTAGGTAGTGTGTGTATATATATAAAGCCTTTAACTCCACCGAAAAGGCAGCTATAAAGTGTTTTAGGTCTTCTTTTCCCTCCAAAGCCACCCCTTTCAATAACGCAAGCAACGGCAATGACCTTCCAAGTCCCAAATTGAGAGGGATTTCGAATGACGCCAACTTGTACCAATCCATTTTAAATAATTTAACATTTTAATAATATAAATTAACTTCAAGGATAGAGAGCGAATTAATAAAAAAATTGCTTACTCGAAAATTAATGAGATAAATATTAAAAGCTAGATAAAGTGTTTTTTTTTTTTGCCAGAAGATAAAGTGTTAACTTGTACATACTTCTCTTCTTTCGTTCCCCCCCTCCTAATTATACGGAGGAAGCTCATCATTGACCGATCGCGTTATCGTTGTTATATAGTTTAGTTTGTGATGGATATTGCTGGCCTTATTAAGGACAGAAAATTAAGGATTAATTTTTTGAATGCAAAAATAGTTAAAACATGAGGTGTGTGGATACTAGATAAGTTCGTACATTTATTACGTATTCCTTTAATTCTTAATATACTCCTCCGGTCCTTATTATAGGACCCAATTTGACTTTTTATTTGGTCTTAATTATAAGACCATTTTCTCTCTTATATTTATGCATTTTTTCCAAGATAATCCTTCTAATAATGATAGTTTTAGCCAATATACTTAATTAGCAAGGATATTTTAGGAATAACAACACTTATTTATTATAAATAACCAACTTAACTTACTTCCTTAATCTCCTCAAATAAGTCAATTGGGTCTTATAATTAGGACCGGAGGAGTAAAATCTATTTAATTAATTTTATTAGATTAAACAAGTTAGATAAATTAGTTAATTATAAGAAATATCATATGTTTCTTCTAAAATATCACAATCATCTTTCTTAATATCTTCCCTCCTTCTTCTACTTGATTATGGTTGACAGGTTGACGAAGTATTCATAGGGATAATTTAGAAAAAACTGATAAATATGAGAAATAAATCTTATATTTAGGACCAAAGTTAACTCAGTAATTAGATTCTATATTAAAGACTGGAAGAGTATTGTTTAAATAATAACGATTCATTTGCTAATTAACCATATTTTCGGCAATTCTATCAACAGTTCAGAATGACATTTTTCAAAGAAAAGTGTACTCTCTTGGCCAAAAAAAGAAGAAGAGGGAAATTAAAATTAAAATAAAATAAATTTAAAACATTAAATTAGAAAAAAGTGCATTAATTTAACAACAAACAGATAAAGTAGAGCACGAGTAATGATTTTTTTTTGCCTACTAAAAAAATAATTTAACTAGAAAAGTGCACACCCTTTTGTCTTGATTGTCATTGATGTCTAATATTAAAGATGCATGTGGCCCATTTTCCTTTCTTTCTTTCTTTCTCTTTTTTGTTTTTGAATTTTTTAAGGTTTGCATGGATTGAAACCACTATCTGCAATTTTGCTTTTGCATGATTTTCTCTACCAAAAGCATCCAAATCCCATCATCCACTTATTATTACATTTAAAACAATTATTTAAAATGTACGCAAATCAATACAAAATGGCATAACACTGAAATTTGATTTAAGAATATATTAAGTA